GATTTCACAATAACACATTTGAAGTCAGGTAAAATTGAAGTTTTGAATGAATTTCTAGAAACTTTACTGTTTTCAGAAAATTCTCAGGTTTTGAAGTTATTAATATATTGTTTATACTTAAATGCATTTGTCGCAACAGGCCTCCATACCCGTTACCATGCGGACAAATATAATCAATTCTTCTGTAAATTCGACAAACCTCTTTCACTGCGAGTTGAAAGTTATTAAAAGCATTAATTTGTGCACATGTGTAAGAAAAAATTGAGATCCAGTCTTTCTTGAATACTACCGCAATCAGTGGTTGCTCTATGTTTAAATGTAACTTCCGTTTTGAAAAGTGTGTTCGCATTATTAAACGCATCGGCATAAAATTTAATAAAATTCATAACATGTAAGAGTACGTGCCAATTAGTGTCCATTTTTATACACACCATGACGTGCGCCATAAACTAGAGGTACTTGTGGACAGGACCCCCTCCCCCCCCCCCCCCGAATATACCCCCGGGTCAAAAAATATTTTTATGTCTTTTTTTCATAAACTATTCTTCTAGTACACATTTACAATGTATTCCATATGAAAAATCCAAAAATAAAGCAGAATTAACGTTTTACTAAAAAATCATACCCGCGGTATTATAAAATAGAGAGGTACTTGTGGACAGGACCCCCCCCCCCCCCGAATATACCCCCGGGTCAGAAAATATTATTATATCTTTTTTTCATAAACTATTCTTCTAGTACACATTTACAATGTATTCCATATGAAAAATCCAAAAAATAACGCAGAATTAACGTTTTACTGAAAAAATCATACCCGCGGTATTATAAAATAGAGAAGTAATTTCGCCCACTTTAAAATACCCCAAAAAGGTCGCACTGTAATTTTGCTTCATAATCATTAAGTCACTTCCATTTGTTAACACTGGACCCCTCTTGGATATCGGGCCTGAAATATCATATACCTACTACATGTCACCAAAATGTGTCATTATATCTTGTTTCGGTAGATATTTTTGTCTTTAATCGTGCTATTTAATTGCCCAGACATTCCACAATAATCCGAGTTTTCATCGTCAAACGTCAAAAACGCTACAAGATTTGTAAACGTCATAGTAGAAATTACGGAAGTGATGCAAAAACGACACCTAGCGTGTAACTCTCGAGTTCCGAGTGTTATAGAATTGAGGGAAAAGCCAGAGGTCTACGAAAAAGTTCGGGAAATGAAGCAAAATTACAGTGCGACCTTTTTGGGGTATTTTAAAGTGGGCGAAATTACTTCTCTATTTTATAATACCGCGGGTATGATTTTTTCAGTAAAACGTTAATTCTGCGTTATTTTTTGGATTTTTCATATGGAATACATTGTAAATTTGACGTCATTTTCAAGCCTTAATTTTTTGGACACTCCATATAAAATTTACAATAAAATTTCATAGAACGTACAGAATGGGGTAAATATTGCAAATTTTACAGACAATTGTGTCGTACTACATGTCTGAAATAACAGGATTTTTTTATGACAAATGCTCATATCAAAAGAGTTTTTCTCAGTTACACTCAGGTAGAAAAAACTCATATTTGAGGTTGCGCCGCCTGGACATACCATTGCTTACAAAAACATTAAAATTTTATTTAAAAAATAAAACTTATGATTTATGGTTTATTCTATAGATAGAAAAGATGATGCTAACTATATGTTTAAAAATTCATTGATGTACCTAAAGCGGTTTTAATCTTATGGCGCTAGTCCACGAACTTTTTGATAACCCCTCGTATATTAAAGGAAAGCGGATTTTATAATACATGACATGTCATAAAAGGCTTTGAAAAAAAAAATACCTTGAAAATGGAGACTTAATCCAAGAAGAAAAAGACGGGCGATCTCGTCCATCTTCAATAGTGTCTTAATAAGCTTGTCACTGGGTATCTCATATGGATTTTATATTCAGGACAATGTATCCTACTGAATGATTGTATTTTTTTATTTCACTAAAGATATTGGTTTTTCAATCTTGCAATTGTGTTCAATACATCAAACATGCTTAATGCCTTCCAGAAAATAAAGAGGCACATGTATATATGTGTGGATTATCTCCGAAGATTAACTTTCTTATAATGAGAATACTTACAGGATATGTGAATCTGCTAAATGAATAGGTAAAGATAGCGAACAGTGATCAATCTTTAAAAAAAAAACTAAAAACAATACAAATCGGTGACCAGGAATAAAATACGGACACTCGGAAATTCCAGAGGTCGGATCACAAATTCTAAGATATTATCCAGTTTTACAAATCTTTTTGTAATTAACCAAATATATCTGTTGATGAATTATATACACTTTATTAGTACTTCTAACTTTTTATTTGATATGTTATTGTTAGTATAAATTCTTTTTGAAACCTATTTTTCAATGAGATATTTCTAAAATGTATAATGGTTTGCTTCTCACTCTCATTCGTGTTTTTCTATGTTATACGGAACTATACGTAGCGATATATTTTCTATGTAAAATCCATTTCATTTCATTTTTTTTTTTATAATTTTTATTTTTTTTTGGGGGGGGGGGGGAATGGTATTGCACAGAAGTAAGTCACAGTATGCAAATGTCATTTAGTTTTTCACACCAAATGAATAGAGGTATTACCATATGTCTTATAAAGTACTTTTCACCACTAACTAGTTAATCACAGTTTTTCAAAGTTATCACTATAGTGTCAAAGTGATTACTACAGTAAAAAAAATGTTTTAAAGTTATTACTAAAGTAAGAAAAAATGTCAGTTATTACTATAGTTTAGTATAGCTAAGTCACTTAGTCAACTATCAGGCCCGTAGGAAGCAATCTCAGTTTTGGGGGCACAACCACACAACCAAACATTTTTAATTTCAATTGGGGGTGGGGGGCACTATTAACTACCAAAAATTCCTTGACAAAAAAAAAAAAGGGTCAGCAGACTTTATTCTTGAGGGGGCACAAGCACATAGTAGCTATGTTTTCTATAGTATTCTAAAGACCCTAAAACGTGCTAAAACACCTCAGAACGAACCTTTCCGTGCAAGAAGCGTACCGTACCATGCACAAAACGAACCGTTCCGTTCACAAAACGAACCGTTCCGTGCAAGAAGCGTACCGTGCCGTGCACAAAGCGAAGGGTACGGTTCGTTTTTGTGAACCGTACAGTGAATAATTTTTTTAAAATAATTATGCAAGTCACGCTCCGAAAGCATTTCTTTCGACGCAGCGCCCGTTAAAAAAGGACGGAATTAACCGTAGAGATTCAAAATATTTTTATTAAGTACCATGCATCTGGACTTACATCTGTTAATACATGTGCTAGTACAATGTAGTAAATTTGGGTTTTAAAATTATTAGGAGAATTAGTATATAGCATATTTTATGATTTGTTATTATGAAATTTGTCCTTGAAATACCAAAACCATTAAATGAAAGGAGAAATAAGTACATTACATGAAAGATCTTGTATGAAAGCTGAAAACATTATAGTTTATATACATGTAGGTATTATATACCCTGATTCTCTACATGATTTAGATGATCTGAAATGTGAAGAAATAACAACAACATTGCATCAGAACCCAGAAAAATGGTACCATTTATATTTTTTCAACTCTGAGAGGGGAATAATCTAGCTTCTAAACCCATCCCCGCACCCCTGTTTCAGAAAATTTGTGACGCCTGCATCATCATTAGTACCTGTTGCAAAATCTAACGAAAATGAAGCTAAAAGAACTCGCATATGCTACACGTATGTAATGTTAAGAAGACTTCATAAAAAGACATGGTGGCGCACGAAGCGAGAAAATTAAAAAAAAAAAATAGAATTTTTGCATGGCCCATGCGAATTTTGTTCAATGAAACTAATTTTTACAGAAAATTACAGGCTTCAGACACATGTACTTGGTTCGTGCCAATGGTCGATAACTATAAATATCAAAGCATGTCAAGTTAAACACGTTACGAGTCCCGAAAAACTGAGGATATTGACACAATCTTCGAAAAAAATCATCGGAACATTATCTGTTACGCTGTAAATTAACTTAGGCGCATGACCTTGTTATGTATGATAAGAACGATACGGTAGATAAAACCTTTGGTTTGTTTTTCTGGTATTGATATTTTGCACTCTTTGCTTCCTAAACAGTGCACCAGAGTTTCTCAGAACTTTGCTATACTCATGTAAATCTTTAGATTTACCACACAGATAGAATAAAAGAAATACATGATTTTGACTCATTATGTCTCTTCACACCTACATGTAATTCTCAGAATTACAATTAGGAGAACCATTGCGTATAATGTTTAACCCTCATGTAAGACCCGCCCCGGCTTTCTGAGGGGACTGGCGTATGAACTAAGCACATTTTCACGTGTTTATTTAAGTCAACACATTATATGTACTTTATTTTTCTTACTTTTTAATGAAAGGATAAACCAAATTTTGACTGAAAAATTTTCTATCACATACTGTATTTACGTGAAGTGCACATTTTGTGCTGTTTTTAAAAAAAATGCATCCCTCAGAAACGATAGGACAAGGCAACAAAATATTTAAGATTTTCAGATGCGCCTCTGCATATGTAAGATTAAGGACTGATAATTGAAATCCCATGGTACAAACATATTAATTAACAAGTACATGTAGATATATATACAATCATGTAACAATTACAGCCACTTCTCGATGAAAATAAGAATAAAAAGACAAAGTACATGTACTTATGTCTGACAATATGTAAACTATAGAAGAGTATTTCTGCGAAAAGTACAACGAACAATAAATGGATGCCTTTTGTATAATATGTATATACATGTACATGTAATTTCCTGTGCTCGAAAAAAACTCACGTTTCCCAGTGTAACTTCTTATATTCGCAGCACGTTCAGCGAACTTTTCACTCGGCCTGTTCTCTCTTTGTTTTTTTGTTCCTGCAAGTACGAGTGTACTTGCCTCCTACAAGTACGTGTGTACTTGCTTTGCACTTGCATTCAGAAGTTGAAGAAGGAAAGATGGAGAGAGGTGTTTTCTGTCTATTGGCGGGTATTTCTGTGGCTTTGGCGGAAATAACACAATTTCAGATGACCGAGTGTGGTAAGTGATAGAGTTTATAAAATTCTGAATTTATACATATTGATTACATATAGGTCCTTAATAATTTGACTTTTAAAAACCGAGCTTCTGTTTTCTGGAAACTTACATATAAATGTACTTATCTACATGTACGTCATGTGCAGCTCCCGGAATTTTTTTTCTCGGGGGAGGGGGGGGGGGGTCACACCAACAAAAGAAGATATGTAAAATTTGCTAACTATTATAAAAAAAAGTAAACAAAACTTGCCCAAGCCTTAAAATCTTGTTTCGCTGGGTCGGGGGGAGGGGGGGGGGGGGAGTTACCAAATGCATGACTCAAGCGGGTCCGTGTTTTGTAGGGGGTGGAGCACTCATGATCCCTCTCTATAGATCCGTGCATATACGTTTAACTCAAACGTTTGCTTAAACTGATTATAACAAAAATATGAATAATACACCAAGGTAGACCGATCCCCAGGTTCTAAAAATCAGCAGTTTATTAATTGAAAATTCTTCTTACAAAAATGTTTCTGAATTCACAAATGTAATGTGTATTTACACAATGTTATATATTCAAAGTTCATCCATAATAATTTTATACTTATTAAACCTAACCCAAAAGTAAAAGGTATATTAAGAAAATATATTAAAAAAACAAATTGCAATCCTGAATTCTCTCAAGTGTCTGAAATAAAGTTCGGTTTTCCTCAAGAAATGTAAACATGACACATTTTTATCATGATTATGTCTTGTTTAAGGATGTCCTGGACAATTTTGATCTAAGCTTCACCTTTCGATATTTTTACAGTTAATCAATTTATTTATTTAATTCTTGCTGACCCATGATCGTCAATTTTACCTGTATAAAACAAAATCATTTTCTTCACTTTCCGAGGTTTATAAACGCGTTTAAAAGAATTTTTGAAAAAGGAAATGACATTTTTAGTAGGAAAATGTCTTAAGAACACAATCTCAATTATTTAACTACACACATCCTATATTTTACAACCCATTTAATTACAGGGCTCTAATTGGCGACTAATTTAGTCGCCATGGCGCCTAAAAAATATGATTGGCGCCTAAAATTTTTCTATAAATCGCCAAATTGGCGACCAGTTTAAATTGACTTTGTGATCATCAAATTACTGAACTTTAAACATTTTGAAATATTTTTTTATAAAGAGTAGAAAAGAAGTTTAAAAGTTAGGAATGGATATGTCTCTATAATTATATGGATTAATATCGGTTTTTAAATTGGCGCCTAAGAAAAATTTGCTTGGCGACTAAAAATTTGCATTGGCTACTAAATTTTTTTGATAAGGAGCCAGTTGGCGCCTAAATCTTAGAGGTCACATAGAGGCCTATTAATTATATAATAATTTGGGTAAATATAGATAGAATTTAGTAATGGTCTAACATCACAGGAGTGGGGTGAATACGAAAAGTTATATACACTTAAAGGCTCGACAGACCGGAATTGGGGAGGAGGACCGGTGGTACATTATATTACCTACTTTTTGTTTACACATGTATAGATATATACGTACATGTCATGTACATTCATTCCCCCAACCATTGCAATATTTTTTTCTTTGTAGGCTCAAGCAGAGATGTCCAGTTCCATAGTGTGTCCTTGACCCCTATGCCAGTCCAGATACCGGGGGATATCCGTCTCTCCGTTGATGCCAGTCTGACCAAGACCATTGGAAGCTCAAAAATGTCTCTTTCTATAAAAAGGAAAACTTATTTTGGGGTAGAAGTTCCCATGCCGTGCCTTTTCCATATCGGTTCTTGGTAAATAAAGAGAGAGAGAGAGAGAGAATATTGGTTCCATCCTACCATTTGAACATTTGAACAAGTTAGATTCATCTCAATTTTTTGAATTTGCTACAATTTTATTTCAGTACATACGATAATCTCTGTACGATGGTCCACCAAATGATCACCGAGAACTGGGTCGGAATAGTGGGGGGTATTGGTACACAAATCCAGACTATGCTGAGCAGTGTAGGGGTTAATGCTAGCCAGTGCCCCCAGCCCCCTAGGAATATACGTATCGTCAACTATCCCATCAGCATCCCTAGAATTCCAGCTATCCTTACCTGGTTTGCAGCGGTATATTTAACAGCTTTATTTCAAAATCAAAATTTTAACCACTTGATGAATATCTCACTATTTTAACAGTGGTACATGTAAATACATGTTTTCATATGTAACCTACAATGTAGGATATTTACATCAAAAATGATTTCAAGTTTATTTAAATATATTGCTTATCACTATAAAATTTATACACTTAAGATGTTTAAAGAAAAATATAGTTTTATACAGATGTTTAAGTAATATTCCTAGTCGTGGTTTCATAATTGTGTATTATTTCCACTGAGAACAATATCTGATATGGTGTAGACTTGTGTATATTTCAGGGTGACTACCATGTGATTGTAAAAGTGAATGAAAACGACACGGGGAGACAACTGGTGTGTCTGGACCTCCAACTCTCCGTCACCCAACAGAGAGAGCCCAGCAGATCAGGCTGGTTGTTTAGTGGTCGCTAAAGACGATCTATAAACATTGATGTTGTCCACATGACATGAATAAAACTTATGATTAAAAGTACTCTTAAATTGTATCTAAAGTTGTATTAATTCAAGTCACCTATTTTAAATCCAAGACCAAAATGAATATGTTTTAGTTAAGGAAGCTCCTAACTCTGATAAAAATGTAAATTTTGGGCTTCAAGAAAATCGTTTGATCTGAAAGTGTAAATACTGAGTTTTCTAATTAAGTTATCTGCCATAGGATAACCCCCCCCCCCCCCAAAAAAAATCAAGGTCAATGATCGAAGTAGTTAGTTAACAGAAAACACTGTTGTTCTTATGTTGGGAATACATATTTCAAATGATCTAAAACTATTAATGTCATGTATAATGTTTTAAATACTTTAACCTATTTCAAACTGTGTCATGTACTGAATAAATAGAGTTTATTTTATCTACATGTAACATCAAAGGGCAGATCACTCTAACTCAATAAATTAGAATGGAATTGGAACTCTTTAGTGAGCAGTTTTTAGAATTCCCTTAATACAATGAAACTATTTTTTTTTTATTTCTATCCTAAATTCAGACAATTTATCTAGTCAAAAAAGCGTATATCATCCACGGACGTTATTTATTGGCTTCAACTCGGTAATTGAATGCTTCATCAAGCGGGGAGGAGGTGGGGGGGGGGGGGTATTTGGCTAGGTGTATTTACATATCATATAACAGGGCCTTGATAGAAATGAAAACAATATATTAACAAGAAAATTGTTGATGCAAGCGTCAACTTCTCAATAACCGTCAAGACTAATTTACAGACGTGGGAAATTTCGATGGATGTAACAGAAAACAATAAGAATTCATCATCATTTTATCTTGAAGCTTCTCAATCATTTACCTGTCATTCAGTACAGTAACAAGTACATGTAACGTTTATTCTGGAGGTTGAACCACAGGCACTTGTTTCGTATACGGGGCACCCCTACTTAGGTAGGGGTGCCCCGTATACGAAACAAGTGCCTGTGGTAGGTATACAATTTTAAAAAGAATTTCAACAAAATTTCTATTTTAAGTAACCATGGCAACAGTGGTCAAAGAATTCAAAATCTGAATGATCAGAATTATATATGACTCGTACTGTGATCTACTTGTGAATAAAGGTATATTGAAATCGGAAATGGAGTTGGAATAGCCTTTTTTTTTTTTTGTTAAAAAAAGAAGGAATTCACAGAAATTTCTATTTTTAGTAACCATGACATTTTTCCTAGAAATCAAAATCGAAACACGGAATTCTGCAACTTACAGTGTATTTCAACAGCTCGTTTAATTGTTTAAATACAGAAAGAATGTTAAGAAGGGTTTTATTAGTTGAAAGAAGCACAACCAGAATATCCCCTATAGTTCATGTGAAAATGGCCTTTGAATTTACATTTAAGGGATATTTGAGAGAATGTATATTTCTCAAGTATAAATTATCATTGGTGCTTAGTAATTTTACGGACATTCATGTCAAAACTATTTAATGAAAAAGCTCAATATGTTCTCTCAGGCTATCATAAGATTGAGTAAAGGCACACTGAGGAGGGAAGCAGCAGCACTTTCAACTTAAACTCCATTATAACGACCAGAAATTGGCACATTGACCAGTGCACCAAATACCATACAATTATTCACCTGATAATGAGACATATCTTTAAAAGATTCGTTATTTTTTTTCAATATTCAACATAAAAGCCAGATTAACTTTGGCCAAACTGGGCCCCTTAAATACTGTAATGGTGAAGAGAAAATACTTAAGGAATCACTGTCTAGTTAGTAGAGTATGCCAGGGCATCAACGATAGTTGGAAACGTGGGATAATTTGCATAACGGGCGAAGCCCGTTATGCATAAATTATCCCACGTTTCCAACTATCGTTGATGTCCCTGGCATACTCTACTAACTAGACAGTGATTCCTTATATTTCCATTTCATTTTGAAATAAATATGTAAATTTAGATTTTAAAAATGTAGACTAATAGATTTAAATTACACGAGGCCTCACATGTCAATTTCAATAGTCCCCGCCCACTGACGTCAAACACAAAGACAGCCGCACGAGAATTACATGCATATTAGGCCTTCTTAGCTACTGACCTTTCGCTTGGCAAAATTTGCATTCCTTTAGAATGATCGAGAAATCAACTCTCCTAACTTTCGCAGAGCTATCACAGAGAAAACAAATAGAAATGGAAATATATATATATATTTGTATTCATATTAACACCAATCATAATAGACTGTGTAGACGTGAGTGTTTTTCAAGTTTATACCCCAGAAAATTCCTGCCAAAGCTTTATTCTCCACAAAATAATCAGGAAATGTCTTGTGTTTTATGGATAAATTATAGGTGACAAGAAATTGATAAAATATTTCATGGCTGTAAATCATCTATGTGTATATGTGTACAGTAAGAACTGAACTGCTCTACAATTGTGGAAGGTGTCGATGAAGACTTGTCATTCTGGGTTCGATCTAAATTCGTAATTCACAAATAATAAAAAAAACTAATCATCCATTTACTTTTAATGAACTTTTGATGGAATTCTGAAAATAAAATCTCCCAAGATAAACAAATATATATAATTAAAGGTATTTAACCAAACACACAACAAAACAGCGGATTAAAATAAATGGACGGTCTGCATAGCAAATAAAATATATCTCATGAGTAAAATTTAACTTAGTGTATATGTAGGTATATGGAATGTGGCAAATAACAAATACATTGTATATATATACAACAAAAGAAGAAAAAAACAACGCTTCATGACAGCATAAAATTACTGTATATATGAATAAAAGTTATTATAAGCCAGTTTTCAACACCTTAGAAATTAAAACAAATTTTTAAGTCTGAGAACAGAAATTTTTTGATTAAAAAGACAAGGGACGAGAGACAATGTATAGTTAGCTTGATTGTGGTTATTTCCCTTTAAATAAGTCGATTCTGGATTGAATTCAGTTGTGTATATTTTTAAAAAAAATACTTTCTGTTGACTTATGGGTGTTACTGTACAAAGCTTATACTTCAGTATAATATAATGTTGGAGAAATGAAAAAAAAAATCACTAAGTGAAAACCTGCACACAGTGGTTTTACATATTTGAAGTTGTCAATTGTGACATCATCTACTGAAAACAATACAAATCTAAATAAAATTTTCTACATGTAAATTATATGCAATATTTGAAGTCCACACATTATAAAGTAATATTATGTCATACATATTTCTGTTTAAACCCTATTCATTCCAATAAACACCAAAATATACAAAATAAATATGAAAAGAGGATGCTTACTAGTCAGATCTTTCATTTAATAATCAAGCTCAAAGTTTTTGGTTTACATTAAACCAAATTAAAGATTTAGCTTTTATGTACAAGTCTTTCTACCCTGAATAACATGAAAAATTTGATCTTTATGCATGAAAATGAAGAAATCATTCTTAGGTAGAGAATAGCAAGGAAGACAAATTGTCACGGAAAAAAGAAGAACCAAAATGGACCCTAGCTCATTTGTAGTTCTGTTCTAAAACTTGAAGTGGAAATGAATCAGCAGTATTCAATATAACTTGGGTAAAAATTAGTTGAATAAATGAGATGGTTTAATAGTTGGATGATGATAGTTAATTGAACATTAGTTGAAAACAATAAATTTTGAACAATCAAACGAACAGTTCATGCTATACACAGTACGGTATATGTACATGTAATTACTCTTCAGATTTAAGTCAAACCCTTAAGCAACATTTCATATCAATGTATGTTCTTCACTTAAATATCAGGAATATCATATGAGCACCTTTGGTGTAAAAAAAACACTGAATTTATAATTAAATGCACCCATACTTTGAAGAACACAAAACCAATATGTTCATTTACAGATCAACAAAAACATTGTTTTATGTAATAACAAAACAAAAGATTTGCTGACAATGTGTGACAAAATAAATACACAGAAAAAAATACTGTTCTGATAATGTAAACAAAAATATAAATAAAAGATACACCATGTGCAAGATTAACAGTACAGTAAAATGATACTTAAAATTCCTTCCAGTAAAAGTCTTCACAACCTTTTGCAATATCAACAATTCCAAGTACAAAACGTAACAATTAACCTTGAATCCAGTAAACATATTAAATCATCGTAATGTGAACAAACACAGCGTGAGCACAACTTTCATAATATCCAAGAGCGACTCAATCTTGTAAAAGGTGTTTCCATAAATAATATATACATGCCCACTTGATTTCTGTGGATACATTTTACCCCTTTGTCACTCCTCAGTGGGCATGCCCATTCTGTTCACTAGCGACCTGAGCGTGGGATTTATACTTTGATTTGAAGTACAGGTATTTGTTTCCGATATCTGGGGGTTCTCCTACGATCAGTCTCTTATGTTCAAACACCTGTACGGGTCGGTGGTGGATCAAATAATGTTCCAGTGTATCCCAACCTCCTCCTACTCGTACCATAAGGTGACGATTCTTTAAGAACTATAACAGTAAAAGTTAACATGTAATTGATATTGTCTGTTAAGTCAAAATTCCATTCATTACAGCAACTCTTATTTTTAAAATTCTAAAATTCAGAGAGGAAATATGTGCGAGATTAAAATTTATTTAATGCTTTAAGACTCCAATAAAGGAATCGATGTGAGCTAATGAGCTTTTTTTCTCAATGTACCGTAAATTTCACTACTTACTCCTATCTGGACCACTTTCATGTACTGTATATTTTAGTACCTACCCGTATCTGGACCACTTTTCCAAAGATGAGGTATTTTCCTTCCCCTAGCTTCTTCACATGATCATGACATTTACAAAGAAAGGCAATTCTTCTGACCTGTTTATGATTGTAGAAAAATAATTACTAAAGATAATAATTCAATCACAATATTTCAAAATTATAATATAATCAATAAACTTCCATGAATTTCATTTTAAATGAAGACTAGAATACTCTTTTTATTTTATTCATATTTTTTCCTGATACATGTAAACATGATATATATTCAAGTAAAGTCATCTTTCTCCCTGCTTAATATATATTATTTTTTTCAGTATATGTATTTAGAAAATATTCACAAACCTTTGCTTAAAAGCTGATAAGTTTAAATATTGATTAGTGAAAGCACATTGAATACCAATTTTCTGATTATTTTCAGATGTATCAGTTTATTTACTTTCATGAAAACTCTGAACCAATTTGTGAGATAATTTCTTTAAATAAATTCACCAAAAATAGTGAAGGCAGTGGTAATCATAGCTAAAGCTCTGAAAGCACTTTTAAATTTTCCTAAAACACATGCATTGGCATTATGATTTGGTTAAATGTATGCTGTGTCCAGTTTCAATGCAAATAACACACTAATCATGAAAATCTACTTCATGCAACTTTCTTTACCATACAACTTTGTGTGTTCTCCTGCATATTTTAAACATTTTTGTTAAAAATATAAGCACTTGAATTTTACATATTATACATTATCATAATTATTCCTGACAACTTACCGAATCCTGAAATATTACAATTTATAACATCATTAATTCTGAGGTTAAATAAATGGTTCAGACTCTCCATAACTGACAACTTCTAGATGATGAATACAGATCCTGTCAATATGGATTTCATGTGTGGTCAGAATTGATATCATATTCATTTTCTTGATAATAGACTTGTCAGAAGGGGGAGGGTTTGAAAGCAGACCAGACAAAGCTTTCTGACCACCATCGAAAACAAACCTTTGTCAGAAGGGGAGGGGGTAGCAGACTGAAAGTGAACCAGACAAAGCTTTCTGGTCACCACCACAATCAAAGCTCTATGGCCTCCATCTTCTAAATAACAATTTCTATTTTGTTTGTTTTGGATTCAATAAATTGATGGGAATGTGAATGACAGTAAAGAGAGATAACTCGTAATTTCATTACAATATTGGAAGCATTAACTTCTTGATATGCCTAGGAAACTACTACTACAGAGTGATTGTACTGTTATGATGAACACTTGCTTCATATAAAACCATAGACAATTCCATCTCTCCCTGTATAGAATTGGACCATCAATACCATACAATACCATGAGAGTCAAATACTAACACCTAGAACCCTTTAACTCTTGGCAACATGACCTTTTACCAAACAATATCTTTTTCTACATTGATTTGCTAGCACACTACTGCTGCAGTACTAATATAAAGGACCCTAGTTTCTTAGGATGAGAGCAATACAGTAAGAACTAGAACCCTGGCACTGCATTAACAAGCCTCACCACCCCTCACCTCTGCATCAAGGTCAAATACATTTTCGGAGGTTGCTATGGGGATTACCTCAGCATCGAGACCTGTAGGTTTCTCTGGTTTCACCTCTGGAACCTCCTCTTCTTTCTCGATTTCCTTCTCCATCCGGATCAGATTCGGAGGATCCAGACCAAACTTATAGCCGATTCTGGCCAGCTCAAGAATGGTCATCAAAACAGACTTCTCTCCAGTGTGTGACACTAGGGGTACAAGAAAAGTTTCTGACTTAGTATTTTACTCTAACCACTTAGCAGTACATGTGTGTCACTTTTTAAAGGTATTGATAAATGTATCACATACTACTAATATATGTATCTATTTTTTATTTCTCATAATCAGTACTGTACTTATGTAGGCATTTAAATGATCACTTTCATTCAAATACAAGAGGCCCATGTGCCACAATGCTCACCTGAGCTACAATGGCCCTGCTTTTCTTCAGCAGCAGATTCTCCCCTCTCATTTTTTCTGACCAAGTGGTTTTTGATAAGATTTTTGAATGACCCAGGTATTTTTCACAATTTCTTGATTATCTCCCCTTGGAATAGCATGCTGCACTTCATTTTGAATAAACTTGAATCCCCTACACCAAAGGATACTCTGTTACCAAGTTTGGTTGAAATGGGCTCAGTGGTTTTGAACAAGAAGATGAAAACATGAAAAGGTGATAAAGACGACGACAGACAATGGACAAATTTTGATCAGAACCTTTGGCTGGGGTGAGCTTACCAGTAATTGATAAATTCTTGGTTTCTTTTCAACTCATCTGGGTAATAGTTTTGCGGATAAGAATGTTACATGTTCAATATAAAAACATTGTAAACCTTCTTATTTACTCCTGAGAGTGTATCTTTTAAGTTCATTGCATCACACGTCATACTGAACTTATGATTGATGGTAGGAAAAGATGAGTGAGCCCACTTTTTAATATGGCATCTTTCCCCAACTTCTTATAATACCTCAATGCTCTCCTACTTATTGGATTTGATTTCAATGTAAACTAAATATCCGTTTTTTTCATTACACCATAGGCCTGTTCAACAGAGCGAACGTTTGTGAGCGCTTGCCAAAATTCCTTATCCCTTCAACAGAAATGTTCACAAGTGCTCGCGAACACTCGCTCTGCTGAACAGGCCTCATTTGTATTGTACAGGTTAATCCATTACCTAGGTACTCTGTTTCAAACATCTGATCATCGGCCATTCCGTACGCTTTACACCAGTTAAGGAAGTTAGCCGTATTGTCTCTTGCAAACCAGCTTCCAGGAGTGGCATTTTTACGGTACTTCAATGAAACTTTGGGTAGGGGCTGTTACAATAAAAAAAAAGTTTATGCAACTCACAAATTTACATACACATGTGAATTCTTTTATCTATAAACATATATAAATTATACTTTGTCCTAATTCTCTCTGACACATTCTTGCATGTTATTAAATGACAAGGAAACAGTAGCCGTTTCTTAAGAAAACATTTTTTTTTTCTGAAAGACTCATGACTACCTTCTCATTTCTGATCTACATATATGCACATACTTTACTAATTATCAACAAAATTATTGTCTCTTCCCTTTTTGGATATTCACATACAGTGACAATTTCTCTATTTCATGCATAAACAAATGTAATCAAAATCTTCTAACATACCCACCACCTAATGCATTAATAAATACAAAGTTTCAAGTTAATCTTTCAAAATAAACCACATCTACTAACATATAAACATATACACCACCTACATTCAATGATTCTTAGGTTAAAGCCTTACAGTGTACCAAGCAATGTTGAGTGTTGCATGTCAAACCCATATAAGCATTTGCTCCAGTGTCAGTAATTATTACTATATAAAAATTACAACTCCACCTATGTTATAATGGCAAGATAAAACTTACAGTTCTTTTCAACTTATTCCATTAATTCCAACAATAAAAATCACTCTGTTGCAAAGAGAAAATGTAGCTTTCCTTCAAACTCATGAAAGCAGGCATTAATTTTGTTGGGGAAAATAAGAGTAAAAATAGATTAAAAGAGGTGGTTAACAATTTACTGTGTGCTGAGATTTAAGATTGAAAGAAGAATAAAGTAACTTAAAAAGATCATATTTATTTTCCAGTATGCCCCTATTTTACAAAAAAAAAAGGAAAGAAAGAAAAAAGAAAAGAAAGTAAAAAAAAGAAAAGAAAATGCTCATTTCAGTTTTAGCTCAATCAGCTTGTCTTGTTCTAAATTATAAGCTTGATAGAGAAACATCTGTATTGATTAGCTTACATACGTACTGAATAAGATGCAAAAACCATCATACCAAATACCTGGCACTTGCATGTCCATTAATAACTTTTACCAAAATTAGATAAATAGGATAACACATGTAGAGCACATTAATGAAAATAAATCTGCTTTCAATTTTTCTACATTTGTAATATTCTAAATTGTCATTTCTATTTAATGAAAGGTTGTCAATATCTGCCTTTTACAGTGAGTTATTAAGACTCTCTCCATACAAACATGTTGTATACATGTACCCTAGCATACATCCCCCATTAGCAAATTATTATTATAGCAAATAGAAACAATATAATCTCAAAAATCATAATCAAAGAACTAATTAGCCCCACTGTGTTAATTAGCACTAGTGCCTACCTCTGTGTAGCTTCCGTCTCGGACACACTCTTCTGCTTTCCCCTGGATTAGTTTGGCCAGATTACACAAATGTACTCCATTATCAAGAACATCCATAAAATTGTCTGTTGATATATCAATACCTGAATGATAATAATAAATAATAATAATAAATCAAGTACTAGTATGTATAAAATCATGATATTAATTTAAATTATACATTTTATAAGACTTTATAGGAAATTTCCAGTAAAGTAACTAGATGCAAAGTAAGACCTAAGTCCAGCATGTACATAATCAAAAAAAAAAAAAATTGAGACACCGGTGAATGGATGCATCAATAGCATCTTAATTCTCACTGCAGGTCTTTCCCACAAGCTTGGGAAAAAAAAAAAAAAAACCTTGAATGTTTTTACATCACCAGATGTTCAAGTTTTATACAAAACATAGTTGCTTTTTATTTTTTAAAGTATTGAATAGACAAAACTGAGTGTCCCTTCTGTAGTATATTTTAGGTAAATTTTTCACAACCAATGAAGTTAATTTTAAGCTCCATACTCTACAGATAAGAGGTCTTCCTACATTTATTTCAATGTTTATGAGAAGGGGGGTTGTCATGAATGCCTACATAACATATTCAAAGTTATTTTTCCGCTCGTCAGAAAGGCCCAAGAAGTTGCATTTGTGGATGTATGGAGATAGAGAGGTTATTCCCATTAAAGACCTGTAGTCATCAGGTGACCAGACACTAACCAAGAGTCCTTGCAATCCACTCAGCCAGGTCCTCTTTGATTGGCTTCAGACTTTCCTCCTGTAAAACAGCAAGCTTCTGGGACACATGACACTCCTCTTCCTCTTTAGGGGCTCCATTGGTTGTCAATCTAGGATCAAGCCCTGCCTCTGGGCGGGACAATCCCGCCTCTCTAACAGTCGTCATGGTAATCTTTATGTTCTTGCCATCTAAAATATATTAAATCTTATTCATGAAATATTCAAACTGTTGAATTAATTTTAATAATTTTTTTAGGGCAGCAATGTACAAATTTCACAAAATTGAATTCTTAATTGCATTTTCTGAATTTGAATTGAGAAGTAGCAGATCTTTGAAATTAAATTTTATATACATGTAGTATTCCAGTCCATATTTTTTTTCCTTTTCAAAAGCATTTTGATCATTTTTGATTCAGAAATATAGTTGCAAAAAAGAGAAAATAGGATAACTGCAAAAAATGACTGACCAAAATTTTCCTTTTAAAGACTATCAGTATATAATATACATGTATATATACATGTGAATATTGATTGACACATGATTTTCATTGATCTAAAGAAGATCCACTTCCTTACTTCCAAGTATCAAATACTAACAAGATGTATTTGTGAAACACTGATACCCCCATGACAACTCATTGCCATGGTTATAAAGTTTTTCAAATGTAGGTCACACTCTTTAGGTAAGGTTCTTGTCAAAAGGAATACACCCATATAAAATATAAGCCCTAGCACCAACCATTTGAATATTATGGCCAAGGTTAAAGTTTTTCATGTGTAAAACTCCAAGGTCAAGAGGTCAAAAATATTGGTACCCAAAGATCTTGAAATACATGTGTGAAACATGAAAGTGCTAGCACCAACTGTGTAAAAGCTATGGTCAAGGTTAAAGTTTGGTAAATTTTTCAAATCTGGGACAAACTCCAAGGTCAAGAGGTCACATACATTGGTACCCAAAGAAAGGAATAGATGTGTCAAATATGAAAGCCCTAGCACCAACTGTATGAAAGAAATGACCAAGATAAGTTTGGTAAAATTTTCAAAATATTAATGTGGGACGAACTCCAAGATCAAGAGGTCAAATATGTTGGTACCCAAAGAAAGGTCTTTTCACATTTTAGAATACATTCATGTACATGTATCAAATATGAAAGCCCTAGCACCAACGATTCAAAAGTTATGGGCAAGGTTAATGATTTTGCAGACAGACGTACAGCTTGACAAATAGACAGAAGGACAAATCAAAACTATACATGCCCCCAATCTTCAATTATTAAGGGGGCATAAAAACTTCCTCCACAGATGCTGTCAACTGAATTTCAGATAAGATTGGTCCCTTTTTATTAAAATTCCATTCTCTGCCTACTCTGTCGCTTCTAAACAAAACTTCCAGGAATGATTTTATGTCAAGTACACAGGAATGAGGACACACAAAGTATTGCTATTTGCTGCAAATAATCGTGCACTGCCTTACTCAATTAAAGGCCTATAGCCTTGATGATATTCTTTGATGTGTGACAATGAATAGCAACAAAAAATGTATAGGCAACTTAGGTAAAGGTTATCAAAATCAGGTCTGACACATCAATTGGTTTTTTCCCCATTAAATATGTCCGTATCAAACCAGTAATTCAAATCATATCAGTCCAACACATGTTGTACATGGACTTACAATCATTTTATTTTGTTTACTGCAGATTTTGAAGAAAATATTTGCTTAGGATTTAAATTTTCTTTTACCCTTTACTTATAGAATTACAATATGCAAATCCAGTAAGTTACATTAATAGTAACAGTCATTTAAAAGATAATACTAAGATTACTTCCTTTCTACAACCTACATGATTTATGAAAATTTTCAGATCCATATTTTAACCTACATGTACATGTATGTTCCCTGCATTAGGATATATAAAAGGAGAATTCTATCTGAGATTGTGAATGTTATTTTTAGTCCTCTTTCTTTCTACTCAAGTGACACACAGTGACCTGTGTAAATACACTCGAGTTTAAATTTTTCAGACCTTTTAAATTAAAGTTTGAAATTCTTAATTCCTCTGCTATACACCATTTCTATCGTTTGTTCCCATGCATTTCTATCAGGCCTGAGAAGGTCTTGTCTATGTTTAAATAACTAAATATGTTTCAATTACATTGTTTACCCATAATAATTTGTTGAATTGTTCAAGTTCACTGAGTTGGTATTTATTTATTGAAATAAGTTTCATTGCTGATTGTTGAACCCATGCTTCATGTGCATACCTACACATACATAGATTTTAGCTTACACACTTTACTTAGACCTTAATAACTAGATACATCAAGTTCATAAAATATATGGTAAGACATGCAAGATAACACTAATGTGTAAGCATCATATTACAGGGACTATGATCATAATGATGAATTCAAGTTTTAAAGTTTCTTTAAGAAAACAGACAGCACAAGGACATATTGACAATGACTGAAGAAAAGGACACAGGTATCATTAGCTGTGCACTTTTAACCTTTCAGTGAAAATATACCTAGGAAAATTTAGAAAAACACCAAATATCACACACACACAATAAAGGTTTATCATTTACCCATGATCATCTTGATGGAAAAATCCAGCTTTCCTTTTGAAAATAAATCCTCATACACCATCTGAATTTAAACTCTTACTGCAACACATGATGTCATGATGTCTTCAATGTTCAAATCTGTTTGGCTATTAATGGGTTCTACAGATTCTTTAACCGAATAAGGATAAAAATAAACACTTTTCCGTAATCACATTATCTCGTTGGCGGCACCTGTTCTATTTACTTACAAAATAAAAATTGGCAACTTATCTGGCCAACAAAAAGTCACAATGGCTTGATGACGTTACCACTATAGTTCACAAGATTTCACACTTAGACGTCATTCATTGTGTGTTTGATAAACTGAGAAAATACCGTAATCCACTACGAAATGTTCTTATTTTGTTTCTACCTAGCATATTATTATCACTGATTAAAGGCCTTGTATGGCACCTGGGATAATATATAAATAGGTCTGTAAACTAAATCAACCCTGATTCGATTTACTGACCCAAACTTTCATACAAATGCTACATGTATACTGGCCTGGATTACCTGATTATATTGCATCCATTTATTTTTTTTTCTCTATGAATTCAAAATAAATGTAAACTAAAAGCTTACTTTCCCCCCTTCTATCAATATCTTTCACACACCTTGTTTATCTCATCTTTGTACTTTTTATACAAATTAGGAAGACTGGCCAAGGACACATATTAATTTCAAGTCACAACTTTTAACCTAAAACTGTTTGTGAAAGATAGGAATTAAATACTATATCTAGAGGATTATTTCTCCTTCACCATCTCAGCCCAATCAGCTGTGCACTACTGACTAGTGTTAGGGAAAACATAATGTCATCGAGTTAAGAGGTGTATGAATGTCAATAAATTGACTCTCAATAGCTCAATGGTTAGAGCAAAAGAGGCACTGGGTTTGAGTCCTTGTTGAGACTTCATTTTTCACCACCTGTAACATTGTTTTGGCACCCTGTGTACAAAACCCACTATTCCCTACGAACATGCCTTGCAGCATTTCCTTACGATATTTCATAGAATTCTGAGATGAATTTCAACAGCCAGGGTGGGGGGTGGGGGTATGTCGTATGTCACTGAGTTAACAAATGTGTGAATAAATCAGTCAGCATACCAGGTCTCAATAGCTTATGATTATAAATGAAACAGGGTGAATTTGTATTTATATCATTTAAATATACGTTTGACGAATTCCTATTGTGGACGCCACGTACTGAAATAAAAACAGAGAAAATTCGGTGAAAAAAATAATGAGCACATTTTAACAAACTTTTCTAAAAGTTATTAAAAGTGTCTAAAAATTTGTGTTGAAGATCGATATTTGTTCCACAGTCAAATTATTATTCCGGTTTCAGTTTAATTTTATTTCTTGTACGCGAGCACTACCACTGTCTAAGTTAAGTTCTGCAATTCTACTGCCTTCTGCCAGAGTATTTGTACAACGAAACTCCCACGTTCAGCATATTGGAGACAATTCTTAAGTTGTTGGAAGAAAATCCTGCAAAGCACTCATTTTTTTTTTTACTGAAATGAAATAATAAAATCATATGTTTACCTTTAGAGAAAGTCAAATGAAATCAAACTCATGAAACTGCCTTCGACCAAACGACCATGTAAACAAATCCAGTTGACTTCCGTAAATGTTATCAAGCAATTTGATTGGCTTACCCTTTTCATTATAATCCAACCAAAAGACACGTATTAGGATCATGACTCTCTTTCTCTCTCTCCCCCCTCTCTCTCTCTCTCTCTCTCTCAAAATTGAGTTCTTTATTTCAGAATTTAACCTCACCTCATATCGTGGGGTTCAATTATTTATTTAAATGATCAGGGATTTACATATATACGTCTCTGCTGAAATTTAATTGAAGTTATTTTAATTATATAGGCCTATATATACATTCACCTTGAAAATCTGTTGAAATAAGATAGATTATTTTTAGTACGTGTAAATGTGAGGCAGCAAATACATAAAAAGAGCCTCGCCATGATTTAGTTGTGTAAAGATTTTTTTGAATGAAATTATTAGTTGGATAAAAGGTCTCAGGCGTTTTTTGCTGACGGTACTTTTTTTTTTTTTTTTTTTTTTTTTGCAATATTGGACAATTAAGAACAGGGGCGGAATAAGCCAAGAAAAATGCCTATTAAGTTGTAATGTTCTACAAATACTGGTATACGATTTTATTTTATAACTTTTGCCGAAAGATTTTTCCGCAACAAAATTATTTTAAAAATGTAATAACTTCAAACATATTTAAAAATAATTAAGAACTGCATGACATTGATCAGTTGATACAAATTTTAAGTTCACTAATAAATTGAACTTGATTTTTATGCACTTGCTTGAAGCTAACTGCTGAAAGCATTTCCCATGTCTGCCCCCTTTCTTTATCCATTAGGCTGAAGTTTTTATTTTGATTTGAGGGAGGGTGGAGTTAACTAGGTTATTCTTAAATTAAACTATACGTATAAAACATATGTTGTAAAAGTTGTTTTTATTTTATGTAAGAAGCAGGTTTGTGTCCCGAATGGATTTATTCTTATCATCAAACATAAAGTTACTGTTTTTTATAGCACCCTGCATAAAAAGTGAAAGTCACAGGTCCTTCGGATATGACATTAAACGTAGGTCCTATGCCACGACAGGCGTTTGAAAGATAAAAAAAAAATCATGGGTGGATCTAGAAGGGATCGGGGGAAGAGTCTCTTAGGATTTTCAGAGATGTTAAATTTCTCTGTAAAAGTAACCCCCCAAAAAATGACCTTGGATACCCCAAGGAAACACGGACCCCTTTTAAACGGTAAGGAGAGTTCGTCACTTACCTGAATACGTCTTATTCACTTTATATATCACTTGAAAATATTATATTTTAATGTATTATTTGCATGCATGACATATTGTTATATAGAAGGAGAGGAAGTTGCAAGAACTTGTTTCCAATCCTTTTGATTAATTCAATAAAATATGTTCAAAACATTTACCTGAAGAAAAATTGACTTATTGGAAAGTGTCTTTTCCTAAAACACCCACACACCTCCACGAAATAGGATTTTGAGCTTTTGGCAAATTGCTTATTTTTTTATTTATATATATTTATTTCATTTTTTTCAATTTCTATTTAATTATTTTATTTACTTCTTTATCACAAACTTTCTGAGTCTGACATTTTTGTGAATCCTTCTGGAAAAATTCCTAAATCGGCACCTGGAACCCTCATTTGCTCAATTAATGATCTGAGTGTCGAGTATTGGTGCTCTTCGCCGGTATTTGGTTACGTTTCACCTGAATGAAAAATTCTCGCAAAGGACGTAAAACAAAAAGCACGCAATTAATCGCACATTGATCCTGGTTTGCAGCTGGAACGAAAACAATTAAAACCCAACCGTTTTTTGCGATGATAGCAGAAATAATTTGATTTGGGCTTTGGATATTTTTTCCTTGTCAATTATATTTCATATGGTATACATGTACGAGCCATATCCTCCCATGCAGTCGTTGCACTGTTATCGCCTTTCCCCATGCATTTGAACGTTAACCTACTAGCGTCCCTCCCACCTCGATCTGGAAAAGGCTTCTTAATTCTACAAGAACTTTGTTCTTACGCATGTGTGGGTGTACATACTGAATGATTTAAATAAAGGTATATAAGTTTTTATCTTGATAAGATAAATTTACTATTATTTATCTTTGCAGATTGCTACGACACCTTCATTTGCTAAAATGTATCGTCAGTGTACTTTTTTTCCTGTTACATGTTCATTGCTTTGTACATGTAACTGCCCAATCTTCTACAACCCTCAAATCTTATCACGGAGGCGACGCAACTCTTCTTCGCACTATTCAGGATGAGATTAACATTCTAAAACTGGAACACTCTTCAACTCTACATCAACTCTCATCAACATTGAATCAACTGTCATCTACTCTGTCACAAATTGCCGATTTACAACACGGACAGAACGTACTGCGGGAGGAGCTGAAGAAGGAACGTAACTTCCGCCTCCGACTGGAATCTCAGAATTGTGTATGTAACAGTTCTTCACAAAACAGTAGTGAGCTTCCTGATTCCAGTATACAGCAAGTAAAAGAAACGATAACATTTAATCTGGAACTGGATATGAAAGAACAGAAAGAAATCATTATGGGTGAAATATCCAGCTTGAAAGCTAAGACTGGGACCATGGCAATGACAATTTCTGGTTTGGTGTCCTCAGGTAGGGCGAATACATTATTTTAACATGCCAAAAAGTTCTGGGACCTGAAATTGTTGGGTGGGGTGTCTGCTTTTGGATTTTCACAATTATAAGTAATTAACGGCATACATGTATGCCTCCAACAAACATATCAAATAGTTTCTTTATTTCCCAAAGGGTATACTTGTCTTAAGATTTATTTTTTTTTTTATTGAAACCTACACTTTTTAAGACATTTTGAGGTTTCTTTCATATATAAATAAAAATAAACAGACAGACAGAAAACAAATGATAGATCTAGGCTAAAAGTTAAAGTTGGGGGGGGGGGGGTAATAATTTTGGGTCAAAATTTTGATTGAAATATACAGGAGAAAAATCCTTTTATTTAATCTTCTAAAAGAACAGCAAGTCTAAAGTAAGTCATGTCAGCGTTATGGCCAACGTGCTTCTTGTTTGGTTTTATAATGTGATAAAACAAACTTCCAACTGCTCTAATCGGTATTAACGGCCGCGACTGACCTAAGTCGATAAAAATAGGTAGCAACTGTTCCTTCGCCAAGCGCTCGGCACTTAGAAGTGAAAGTTGCGGTCCTTCAGATGAGACCTTAAAAACCGAGGCCCCGTGTCCGGTAGGCGTTGGCACGATATAGAATTTACCCTCACTGCTCAATGGCCCTGAGTGCCGAGTAAAGGTCTAAATTTGAAGCCCTTCACCGGTTTATGGTGACCTCTCTATATGATTGAAAAATTCTCGAATGGGACGTAAAATAACATACAATCAATCAATCAATCCAACTGCTCTATCCGAGTTCCTTTATACGTATTTAAAATAGATATGATTAATCATGACTTTTCTGTTCTTGAAAGAAGATATTCCCTTTATATGCATACCCCATGTAAAAAGTTGATCCCCTATTGTGGCCCAACCTTGCCCGAGGGATGATTTTAACAAACTGAATCTACACTACATGTATGTCAAGAAGTTTTAACTAAAGTTTCATCTTTTCTGGTTCAGTTAGTCTTGCAAAGAATTAAGATTTTTTTAATAGCCCAACTGTATTATAATTGTATTTTCTTGATTATCTCCCCTCAGAAGAAAGTGTGGTCTTAATTTGAACTAATTTGAATCCCCATCCCCAAGGATAATTTGTGTCAAGTTTGTTTGAAATTAACCCAGTAGCTCTAGACACGAGAATTGTAAAAAGTTTACGACGACGACAGCGGCACCGACAGACAAAGGACAAATTTCGATCAGAAAAGCTCACTTACATTGAGCATTCAACTCAGTTGAGCTATGAAAGAAAAAAAAATGATTTTAGCATGCACATTGTTTTAAATAGTTTCAGATATCCAGAAGCAGATCTATTTTTCTGCAGGAACAGTTCGGGACGTTAACAAACAATGGAGGCCACAAGAGAAAATTGTATTTCCACACGTGACAAGTAATGTTGGGGGAGGATATGATGCAGATTCCAGTTTGTTTACCGTACCACAAAATGGCGTCTATGTGTTATATTGTTCCCTAGCCACGCATTCCAACGGAATGATTGCTAAGATGGTAAAAAATGGCAACCCTCTTCTTGGAATTGCAGCTTCTGCAATTGATGGTCAAGTTGATACAGGGAATAATTTAGTTGTGATACACGTTCAGCAAGGAGACAGGGTGTGGATACAACATCACATGGGAGCGTTTATGTGGACAATGGATGATGCTCCTCTGTCAACATTTTCAGGATTTCTTCTTCACTAAGAGAGAGATATTGGAGCATTCCGTATCTTCCTTTTACACCCCGTAGATTTTGTGTACTTCTTTGAAAGACAAAGACACAGGGTGCATGGGCTATTGGTATAATTATAAATAAGATGAAAATGCCTGACGATTTGCAATCCTCTATTTTTATTGGGACGGGCAGTATCAGGGAAAAGGCCAAGGGACAACCCCCAAAAGGTTATCAAAAATTTGTATTTAAAGACACAATGATAATTGACAAAATGTAATTTAAGCAACTGGTGTACGTCATCATGAGTTACTTATGTATCTGTTTTACAAGTAGAGCTATAAGATAATATTTTTGAGTTAACAAGCAATAAACAAATCACTCGAAGTACAGTTCATCTGATACAGTACAGGCCACGAGTTTTCCCCGTCGCACGGTGGAAAACACACCGTGTGAAATGGTCTGTGTTACACCGTGTACACGGTGTAGCACGGTGTGTGTGGATTTGAAATACACAGGTAGGCACACCGTGCCGCACCGTGTCTAGAAAAATCCCAGCTAATGCTCCCCGTGTCGCACCGTGCCCAGAAAATTCCCTCCGTGTTGCACCGTGTCCATAACATTATAGAGATAATCTTTTGGTTCTGATAAAAACTTTGAAATTTAAAAACAATAAATCACTTTGATTTATATGTATAATTATCGTTTTAAAATTTAGAAGACATTGACTGTGCTATGAATCGTACTAATGACACATGTAGTAGGATTAATTAAATATCGGTAGCAGAAAATTTAAATGGTTTTGAATTTATCGTGCGCCCAGAAGTTCGTATTTAATTTTAGTAAAGTTATTTAGTTACTTTTTAAAATTATAATTTGGACTGAAATTTTTAATGTCCGAAGAATTTTATTCCATGTGCTCATGCAACGAAGAAAGACTAAATAGCATAATCCATCGATCTGCATTACATGTAGTATACGATCCGAGCTGCAGTTGTTTTAGTACACAATCAAACTTAAGCATTAATTAATTTTATATTCCCGAGTGGAGCACATTTATGTTGTTAATCTTATATTATTCTGAATTTATAAGCGAGAATCGACAGCAAAAATACGAAATCCCTGTGTACAATAATGTGCGTATTTCTCGTAACAGATTTTCGTAAACTAGAATTTTGAAAATCCTTTCAGTGTAAGTTTGTAATAAATTTGTCTTTAATTGAAAAGTGTTGAAAGAAACAATGTCAGAGAGAGAGAGAGAGAGCCTTTCGCATAAATCTGTAAAAAAAAAATAAATAAATACATGTAAAAATAAATAAATAAAAATCTTCGTTTTATAATGTCCAAGAGTATTTCTCGTAACAGACGATTGTCTTTATCTTTTCATAAACTAGTATTTATGCTTTTAAAATCCTTTCAGTGTAAGTATTTAATAAGTTTTTATTTGAATGAAAAGTGTGCAAAGAAACAATGTCAGAGAGAGAGAGAGAGAGAGAGAGAGAGACTGAGATTCTTATAAATTTAATTCATAGTTTTATTTACATTACCAAAGTCACAATTAACCATTCTATAAATTATACTATTTAAATTCCGTAACTTCGTTTCATATTCAACTCAATTACATGTACAACATGTGTTCAATCATTTTGTTCTCCGTAACACACGAAATCCTGTGCTCTACCTGTCAATCAAAATCTCACAGGTACAACACTAGGTGGCCCTGAAAGTTTGTTTACGCGGAAAGTAATTCTCTTGTGATTTGAAACATTCTTATGGTCAGTTCCGAGTTAACACCTTTCTTTAAAATATATTGGGGCACAGCCGGAGGGCCGGGGCGCTGTGTGTTTATCACACCTTTCAAATTCTTTCGTCCTGACCATATCATGTGTATAACACACTCAAGTGACTTCCAGTCGAATTCATCTACCAGGTTACAGGTTACACCACCAGTCCACCACAGGTGCACTTTGACTTGTCAAGATTTTAAACTTACTTGTAAATTGTCCTTTTTCAGACACATATAAATAGATTATAACTATTTTGTTTCACAATAACGTAACATATAAATCCACAGACTTTCGATTAATTTCTAATTAGCTGAATCATATCACTTTCGAGAAACGATGGGGGTGGGGGGTGGTAGCAAACATAATGCATGTAGCTTGAAAGAGGCTAGTTGGTTTTTTTTTCTTCCTTAACACCATGATAATACTTTGACCATGAGAAGCTTTGTTCTATACATCCCCGCTCTACATTCGCTAACTGATTTTTTTTTTATCTTAAACCGTACGACACATTTTTCATAAAATAATCTCAGAATAAGGTAATATCAGGGACCTAAATACTAATAGTATATGGGTCCCTGGTAATATTTGTACAATAGTTGAAAAGCAGATTTGAGTTACCAAAAGTCGACTTTTTGTGTGTGTGTGATATTTATCTCCATATTTTACATGATTACAGATTGCAATAATCCTTAATCGAAAGTATAATTCACCGAGTAATAATCAGAGAGCAGAGTTCATGTGTGTGTATCTAACACGTTTTTTAATTTTATTTATTTAGATGCATATTTTTTTTAAATTCTTTTTATGTAGAAAATGATTTATAAAATAAACCAGGCATCTGATAAATACCATATATGAATGCATACAAACGGTAAAAGAGATCTTGTTACGGAGATGACTAATTTAAATGAACACAGTTATAATAGAGAGAAAAGACAACCAGGTAATTATTTTACGAAAGTGTATTCCTTCGTAGTATAATAATAGTCTGACTATTGAACAGTCATATTTTTTCTCTCGGTATAGTTAGGTTTTTGAAACGTGACTTACATGGATGTACGTACACATTTTGAAGAGTTTGTATTTTGCTGGACAAGAGCACGTGGATCTTAGATTTCATGGCATCTTATTTGTTCAAACATCTGTATATCGGTAAAGAAGTAGTAATATTTAAGAGAAAAGTGAAAAAAAATCTGATTTTAAAGGAAATTGATATAATTGATTAAATAAAGAAATGAAAAGTTTTTATTATAAGTTCTGCGTGATATCGTAATGGGGCACTGTGATACACCGCGCGTACACACCGTGTTACACGGTGCGCAGACACCCTAACTTCAAAGACGCCGACATTGATCGAGGTCCACGCTAAAGCGTGGCCTTTTGGTCCACTGGGCCCCGTGTTTTTCGGGGAAAACTCGTGGCCTGTACTGTATGTATGCACTAATGGCAATTTAACAAATTAAATATTTTGTGATTATAACATCTGACAAATCAAGCCATTATGATTTATGACAATTCAATAATAAAAGATTTGAAAGTGTTTCTCTGAAACTGTTGGTATTGTCTCATTTCCAATCTTGAATCTTTTCTTCGGTCAGTAATAATTTTTCGTTCTTTATCGTCAAACTTCAAGATATACCACGGTAGAGCGATCGGAAGGTCATGGGTTCGAGCCCCGGCCGCGACTGACCTAAGTCGAAATAAAATGGGTAGCAACTGTTCCTTTGCCATGCGCTCGGCACTTTGAAGTGAAAGTTGCGGGTCCTTCGGATGAAACCTTAAAAACTGATACCCCGTGTCACGGCAGTGTTGGCACGATAAAGATCCCTCCCTGCTCAATGGCCCTGAGTGCCGTGTAAAAGTCTAAATTTGAAGCCCTTCACCGGTATATGGTGACGTCTCTATATGAGTGAAAAATTCTCGAACGAGACGTAAAACAACATACAATCAATCAATCAAGATATACCAGGGGTGCTTGTTTATGCTTTCATTCTAGATCTTTTCCAAATGATGACTGATCTACGGGATGAAACTCTGCCATTCCAGACCTTTCAGGCACCATTTAGATGACTGAATGGCGTAGGTTCACCCTGTGTGATTCTCTTATAGTGTTCACTTAATAGCTTAATAATTCTATACCCCAGTATAAACTGTGTTAACCTGTTCGTGAAGCACAGTTCCATACGCATTCACTAAATCTAAGCTGATGACTGCAGCTCTCCGTGTAGACTGTTTATATAGTTTTCCGGATTATATCTGTGTCGATATACTTGTGTGCTACATGTACATGTTTATTCATTCTGATATATTCCGATACTCCTAGCCCTCTCTTCTGCATGTCGATGCCAGTCACCGATTCCCAAGCATGTAATCAGGCATTCTCCTGGCTTAAATTGCAAGATATTTCTCTCTTTCTATATGTTCAGGACTGATTTTGTCCTAAACTATTTCAGTACTTCTGATTTCTCTTCTTTGGCAATACAATGTAGAATAAAATGAAGTTTTCTCATCCCAATTTTGTCGAGGTGTTTTGTAGGGTCATTTTGGTTTGGTTTAATTTCCCAGACACTGTATTATGGTATCTCAATTTTGTATACATATGTTAATAAATATCATTGATTTTTTTTAATTTGTTATTACGATTTATATGCAGGCAAATAGCTCGACTAATTCTCCCAGATTCTTTCCTCTACCTTTATGAGCAGAAACACGTTACATTATACTTCAGAGATTGTGTTTATTTGATCCGTGTAGAAAAAGGAGTCTCAAGAGTGCTGTCCATTACTTTAAGGCTTAAAAGAAATGTTATCCTGTTTTCAATAGAGCTGATCATGATATAAAGGCTCATCATTCCCCTGTTCAGTCATATAAAACATTGTAATAACACTGATGAGTTATTATACTCCATTTGCAACCACAACTTTAGTAATACATGTACATGAACCCATCGTTATTATAACATTAAGGACAGATCGATGAAACAATTAAACAAAAAATGCATGGATGCCTGGATTGGTATATATTTTTAGACCTATTTTGGTTGTAAATAATGCGAATATGAATTTAATATCTGTAATATTGAGAATCTTCCTACGATGCTCAAAATTCTACCTTTCGGCAACCATCTTTATTGATATATATATACACTAGACAAAAATTGCTAATGCACCATAAAAGAAAATTAAGATTTTTTTTTCAAAACTTGTTAATGCTGTATTTGATATGTAATTATGTTACTTAAATAA